GGCTTTGGCTTACACATGCTGCAATTATGCTATCTTTGGGTTGTTGTGAGCTTTCCAGGCTGTATGGCCATGTTCCAGAAGCACTCTCCCCTGACGTTTTGCCCACATCTATGGCAGGCATCTTCAGAGGTTGTGAGGTCTGTTGGAAACTAGGCAAGTGGGGTTTATATATCTGGAATAATGTCCAGGATGGGAGAAATAACTCTTGTCTGCCTGAGGTGTTAATTGGCCCAGATTGTTTGTTGTCTGGAATTCCCCTGTTTTCTGGGTGTTGTTCTTTATTTACTGTCTTGATTTTACATCAGGAGAGAATGCTTCTGGAACATGGCCATATAACCCGGAAAACTCACCGCAACCCAGTGGTTCCAACCATGGAAGCCTTTGACAAGACATTACATTATCATTTCTTAGTAATTTTGTGCAAGCACAATGATACCATAGCTGGCTTGCTGCTAAGCTAATTCTGCTTCACTGGGATTCATCTAGCCCTTCATAGCTCAACACATACACATATAGATGCTCCCTGGGGAAGCTAAGTAGGTGTCAAGTCTAGCTTTTATGGAAGAAATGCTGGAGCATCAGAGTCGTTGCTTCAATCAAGCTTTTCCCTCATTGCTGCTAGAACTGGGAAGAGATGTGTATAATGCTTTTTTACCGCATGATTCCAGAAGGTAAACAAGTGAGAGAAAAAAGGAAAATACAAAGGTAGTGTAAGAACAATTGCAAAAATAAAATGTTGGGAAAACACAACTTAAGCAGTTCATATCAACTCATCTGAGACAAAGCAGCTTAAAATTCCCCCTCAAAAAAATTAGTTTTTCACCTGGTGCCAAGAAAGTTTGTTAATATAAGTGCCTCTATCGGCCGTGCTTCAGTCACAACCATAGATGGTGAAAGCTTTTAATTTTCACAGGTGTATCTACAGTTGTGGGAGAAGGTGTTTCTATGGTCTTAAAACATATTGAAACAGATAAAAGGGGAGGTACTTTATTCCAAAGATGTGTAGGGCTTTAAAAGCAAGTGTCATCAGTCTGAATAGGGCTCCAAAGTAAACAAGCAGCCAACAAAACACTTGTAGACATTGTAACATATGTCTGATGGAACTGATTAAATTTCTGGGAACTGTATTGTGTGTCAGCTGAGCATATCCTCAGTAATCAGTCTGAGGTTACTATTCTGTCTTTGTCTAGAATCATAATCAGGGAAACTGACAGTGCAGTAAAAACAGAGGAAAGGCTTCTAGCTGATGTTAGATGGTATCATGAAGTCAAAGAGAATCAACTGTTGGACTCCCAAAAGAGACCATCCATCAGAATGACTTTGTTACTTATTAATGGTGACCTGCCACCCCTCTCCAATTACTTTGCCCCCATTCTCAGGCCACACCACAGTTTAAATCAGCCTCACACTGAATTATGTGCACACCACTTGTTGCAAATCCATGCAGTATACCTAAGCATGATACTAAGGTGCTTTATTCAAAATTAGGGTAGATAATGGGTTTTTGACTTAGAGATGTGTTGCCATGGAGTTGCTGTGCACATTTGTTGTGTCTGGAGTCATCTGTTTTTCATCTAAATTGGCAAGAAAAAGTTTAACTTTTTTTGTACTAGCCTTCTGGTTTGGGCTGGAACATGGACTAAAACTTTCTGTTGAATGTGTTGTTGGCTTGGCAGCACAGGCTCTAACATTGGTAGGTTGGATGCAGATGTAAACATATGCACTTGGGCTGGTGGAAGTGAATTTCCGCAACTGCTGTTCCCTGTGATGCTCCTAAAGTCACCATGCAAGAGGGTCAATCTACCCTCCTAAACTTGGTGGGCTGTGACCTGAAAGAGACCCGGGATCCACCTAAAAGTGTGTATGGACACATTCCGTGAGCTAAAGACCTTCCGTCCAGAGAAGGCAGGTTCTGTATCCATCCCAGTATGCTTGATGCATAGAAATCTCTTTTGGGATGGTGCAGGCATTATCTGCACTGTCAAAAGCAATCAAAATGACAACATATTCTTGTTCCTATTTGCCTGCAGTGCTTACTGTGATCTCTGTCACTCATCCTGAACCCAAGTTGCTGAACTACTTCTTCCTTTTCTTTTTATAGATTGATTCCAATCTTGGTGAATGGAATGAAGTACTCTGAAATTGACATCATATTGTTAAAGGTAATCTGTGACCCTTGAATAGGTTTGAGTTCCTTGCTTTTGAGCAATTATTCCTTATCTCTGTTCCCCACTTATTCATGTAGACTGTTTACATAGTATGACACTTGAAATGTTTCCTATGTTGGATTCTTTTATAATGTTTTCAGATTACTTTGATTTCATTGCTCGTTAGGTTAGTGTTACTGTGACCATCCTTGATAACACAGTCCAAGGGAGTGTAGCTGACAAATCTTCTGGTCTGAAAGTAGTCTCTTCTGTCATCACAACTGGGAGGGATTTTCCTTGCCAGTGTCCTCTGAGTCCATTTGGGGAGATAGGGTGGTATATAAATAAAGTTTGTTGTTGTTGTTGCCCTGCCTAGTACAAGTTTGAATCTATGGTTTCTCGGAATCCGTTCTGTGCTTCTTGCACTTAATGAGAAATGCATACACTTACACACATTGTAAATATCCAGGCAAATGTATTCATGGAAGTGATGTATAAACATATAACCTTCACCCTGATCACAATGATGGTTGGTTGTATTCGTACTGTCTGATCCATGGAAGCCTGGTCTGAAGGCTGTGAACCTTCTCTGTCAGGGATTAAATTGGCATTCAGTGGCTTTGATAACAGCAAGAGGAAAGGGTTATGGTTCTTATACCCTGCACAAGTCAATCCAATAACAATGCAGATTTGGGGAAATTATTCAGTATCTGTACTGGCAGGACCATTGAAATGGAAGGCTGTTTGAGTAGCTATCACATGTGGTCCCTCACCTTAATTGCAGGGAGATGTGGAAGAAGATGAAGCCATCCCTGATAGTGAGCAGGATATCAAACCTCGTTTCCACAAATCCCGCACAGTTACCCTGCAGCATGAAGAGGAGCGGTTACAGGCTGATGAAGATGGCGAGGATGAGGATGATGATGATGACACGCTGTCCGATTGGAATCTGAGTGCGTATGGGAATAACAAGCCATATTCTGGGGCAAAATGTGGTTCTCCACATGTTCCTGGACTGCAGCTCCTAATATCCTTAGCCAGCAGAGCCAGTGGTGAAAGTTGTTCCAAGTTGCAGTTTTGGAATGTCTGGAGGGGCCTCATTTTGTATCCTCTCTCTGGGATTCATGGGAGACCAATATGGGTGTATTCTGAACCAGTAGTACTGGCATGTGTACATATATGATCTGGTGGTGGATAGGAGATAGAGAATCTGCAATAATTTGTTCATGTTATCATCTAAACCTCTAACCACTGTACTTAACATATGGGAAATAGTTATTTGATTTTCTCCATTTAGGTTTTCGTCTATACAGTTAATTAGCAATAGGAAATAAGTTATCTTTCTTCTTTGAACAAGTTGATGGTTTCTTATATGATTATTTTTCAATCTAGAGAATACATTTTCCATAGTCTTGAGCAGGGGTCCTCAAACTTTCCAAACAGAGGGCCAGGTCACAGTCCCTCTAACTGTTGGTGGGCCGGATTATAATTTGAAAAAAACATGAATGACTTCCTGTGCACACTACACATGTCTTATTTGTAGTGCAAAAAACACTTTAAAACAATACAATAATTAAAATGAAGAACAATTTTAACAAATATAAACTTATTAGTAATCCAATGGGAAATGTGGCTGGTGAGATAGGGTTGTTGTTGTTGCTGCTGCTGCTGCTGCTGTTGTTGTTGTTGTTGTTGTTGTTGTTGTTGTTGTTGTTGTGTGTTTTCAAGTCATTTCAGACTTAGGTTGACCCTGAGCGAGGGCCGGGTAAATGATGTTGGAGGGCCGTATCCGGCCGCCGGGCCTTAGTTTGAGGACCTCTGGTCTTGAGTGTGTTGGGAGGCTGTAGAGAATGAAGCAGTACCAGGAGTTCTTACCCAGTGTCCATTCTGCTTCATTTTGGAGTAATAGTTCTTAGCGGCTAAAACGAGTGTGGGCATGGTGCACCTCATAATTATTTTCCCACTAGAAATAGCCCTTGCAGGTTGATCGTACAGGAGGGACCTTTGTCTTTCGTTTTGCTTTTTTTTTGAGGTGCATTCGAAGCTTGGTTCATGCTGCTTCTGCAATATGGCCCTGTTTCCCCTACAGGAAAATGCTCTGCTGCAGCCCTGGATGTCTTGGCCAATGTCTTCAGAGACGAGCTCCTTCCACATCTGCTTCCACTGCTCAAGGGGCTGCTCTTCCATCCTGAATGGGTCATCAAGGAATCTGGAATCCTTGTTCTGGGGGCCATTGCAGAAGGTAGGTCCTCCTACTACAAACTCAAGCAGGTTGTCTGCCTCTACTAAGGTGGAATTATTGGCAGCCCCTTCATGTAAACTGGGAACTGCCCCCTCTGAGTAGGTTCTTTTGACATGCAAAGAAGAGTGTACTAAGTTCAACCATTCTGTTATTGGATGGATAGATATATAATGATTTTTGCTTTTCTAGGCTGCATGCAAGGCATGGTTCCATATCTCCCTGAGCTGATTCCCCACTTGATCCAGTGCCTGTCTGACAAGAAGGCCCTGGTGCGCTCCATTGCTTGCTGGACCTTGAGCCGCTATGCCCACTGGGTTGTGAGCCAACCCCCTGACATGTATCTCAAGCCTCTGATGACAGAGCTCCTCAAGCGAATTCTGGACAGCAACAAGAGAGTGCAGGAGGCTGCTTGCAGGTACTTGGGCAGTATTAAACAAAGGGTCTCTTGCTAGGTTGAGTGGGTAGTGTGTGGAAAAGCAAAATAATACTTTTTAAAGATGTGTGCCTCCAGTTATTGTTTGTAAGTTGAAACCAGACTAGATTGTCTAATGCCTTTGTGCCGCTAGTGTGTTCACATTAAATTAATCTCTCTGACATTTTTAAGGCTTTCTTTGGAAGTGATGAAGTTGAAGTTTGAGCATTGCAGTGATGTGTCTTGTGTTCGTACTGTCTGATCCAGAGAAATGCCCTTGTTTTTCACCTCAGAGGATGCACTTGAGTTTATAACTAAGCCAGTTTTATTTTTAAGTTCTGTGGGAGAAGAGTCAATAGACATGTTTGGTACTGCTCTCATTTTGGTGCAAACCCATTACTTGTATTTTTGTAATTTTATTTAGTGCATTTGCAACTCTTGAGGAAGAGGCCTGCACAGAGCTAGTCCCATATCTCAGCTTCATTCTGGATACTTTGGTTTTTGCATTTGGGAAATACCAGCACAAGAACCTGTTGATCCTGTATGATGCAATTGGCACTCTGGCCGATTCTGTTGGGCATCACCTCAACCAGCCGGTATGGCATTCTTCCTTATTGACGCGAGTGTTGACTCACCTTGAGTAATTGCTTTTGAATGAAGTACAGTCACCTCAGTATCTAGAGTGTTATTATTTTGTTTTCCTTGTAATTGTGATATTATGGAACAAAATTTCTATTTCTACTCCTTTTTCTTAAGGCAGAAATCTCTAAACTGCAAGGACATCACATATAAATTCATATTCCAGAGTAAAATGGATCATGTGTGAGGATGTCTGTTTAAGATGATTTCCACCAAACTTGTTTCCTTCATGCTAAAATTGCATAGTTGTAATGTCTAGAGAAAGGAAAGTCAGAATTTTTCCTTTTCTGGTGGTTGAATCTGAAAAGAAAACAATGAGGGATTTCCTAAAGAAAGTGCACAAGGGGATCATGTTTTGCCAACAAAAAACCTAACACTTTTTATCTTTGCCATCTGTAGTTAAAGGATCTCAAGTAATGGGGCTGGGAGTGGACTATTTGGCAAAATCAATTCGAGATCTGACTTCTTATAAAGCTATTATTTGTTCATTCTTTGTGCCGACATTTTTTCCTACTCCACCACATCTGTTCTCAAAGGCATTGTATTTTTTTAAATCCTATATTTTTTGTTTTTTAATCTGCATTTTTAAAAAAAATCCCTTCTGTTGATACAGTTCTTTGGCTGTTCAGTGCACATTCAGTTTTTTATAACTTATTTTCCTCTTGAGGTGATTGGAATAATTTGCAAATTTAGTAAACTTTGGTTGTGCTTGGTGGAATTCTAGAAGAAATCTTGCCTATTTTCTTCGGCCCAGAAACAATGATGACTTTTGAAAATACAAGACATTCGAATCCTGAAGCAGTGTGTTGAGTGTTTTTCAGTTCTGAAGGTTTCTGGGCTGTGTTTTGTGATCTATGCTTTTGTTGGCGCTGACAGATGTTTGAAGTAGTTTTCTTCTTCTCCAGGAATATATCCAAAAACTGATGCCCCCGTTGATCCAGAAATGGAATGAGCTGAAGGATGAGGACAAGGACCTCTTCCCTCTTCTAGAAGTGAGTGGCCAGTTGTGAATCATCTGGGTAGGCTTCAGTGCCTCTGTTCAAAGAACTACGTTCTACAGTGCCTGGGAATCATGATAGTTGAAAGTGATTTTTTTCTTAATTTCTTGTAGAACATTGATTAAAGTGGTATTTTAGGAATGAGCTAAAGCCTTACTGATACATTCTGGGAACACAGGCTGTCTTGGGTTTCCATGTTATGGCCCCTTTTCTCAAAGAGGCATCCTGGTCCTTGTTTCACTGCCTTGTTTCAATGCTTCTTGAAACATTTGAAACATTTACATTTGATCCCAGTGGTCTGCCTATCTAAAGTATAAGGAAATGTCAATAGTCTTCAGTCATGTCTTTTGAGTCATTATTTGTTTGCTTCGTAGTGTTTGTCATCTGTAGCAACTGCTCTCCAAAGTGGTTTCCTTCCATACTGTGAACCTGTCTACCAGCGCTGTGTGACACTTGTGCAGAAGACCCTCGCCCAAGCCATGGTATGTTAGGCTGGTATCCATGGAGAATTTTACAGAATGTTGCCAAAATACTACAATTCTTGGTTCTTGCTTTATTGGCGGTTAGCCCATACACAAATCAACCTCAGTTGGGAATAACTGTACCATATTTAATAACCAAATAATTACAGCTCAGTCTCTTCTTTTCTGAAATGTAGCCTAGGGATGAGGAATTTTGTACTCTGTGCCCCCTCCCAAGTATGTTTTGTTCATAATCTTTTCTTAAAACTTCTTTTCTTGGGGGGGGGGGGGGGGGGGGGGGGGCGGGCAGAGGGGATATGTTTGTACATGGCTGCAGAGATCTTAGGTAGCTGCCCACCCCAACATATTTGTTCTCCTCAAAGCATTGCTCATTGTGTTGGAGGGTTTTTGCTTATTTTGTTTTCTTGGGAGGTTTTCATATTTTCAGACATTTTATTATTATGCTTAGATGTACAGTCAACACCCAGACCAATATGAGGCTCCTGACAAAGATTTCATGATTGTTGCTCTCGACCTGCTGAGTGGTTTGGCTGAAGGCCTCGGGTGTCATGTGGAGCAGCTTGTGGCCCGGAGCAATATTATGACTCTGCTGTTCCAGTGCATGCAGGTGAGTGATGGATGTGGAGCTGCTTTGGCAAGATCTTGGCTTTTTGAGGCTGAGAAATTGTGACTTCTTGGAGAATGTTGTGAGAAACCTGAGCCTAAATTTTGCACTGCATAGGAATATTGAAAGAGAAAATTGAAAGTGCAATGACCCAAGACTGTTTACTGACAACTGCTGTCTTTATGTGATATGTGATTTTTTATGTGACGTGTTTACTAATGTTTAATATTTTATCAGGGGAGGATCAATTTTATACTGTTTTTATTAATGGCATTGAATTGTTGCCAACACGGAACCGCCCTGAGTCCCCTTCGGGGTTGAGAAGGGTGGTATACAAATACACAAATAATAAATAAATAAATAAATAAATAAATACTGTAGTGAGCCTTTGGGTGTGGCATGCCTTTTCTAAAGCTTTTAGTTCTTGTTACTTCTCAATGGTGAGAAAGTCAGCTAGAAAACCAGGGCCTAGAAGGACTTATTTATTTTATTTAAAGTATTTGTCATACATTTTCCTATTAAACCAGGAGTTCTCAAACTGTGGCCTTCCAACTGTATTGGCCTCCAACTCCCAGAATTTCTGACCATTGAACAAGCTAGCTAGGATTGTATTAAAGTAATGTACAATAAAACCATTAAAATGATTGTAGAAGCCAAAGGTTTCCATGATCCTTATTGCTTGTCAGATTCAGTGGAGCCAGCATCCCATAATGGAGGTATTAATACAGAAAAGACCCTAGCCTCCTTTTTGTGTTCAGACATGTAATAGGATCTTTGAAAATATGTTATGGACAGGCTCTTATGGCCCCCAAGAGCTCTTTAAGGAGTATAGGAGGTATTTTGCATTTCACACACACACACATCCCAAGCCATTTTAGACCCAGGAGACAGCCCTTTTAAAAACAAGAGGAGGCTACCCAATTCCCTTTTTTATTTAAAAAAAAAAAGTAGCAAAAACACCTCTGCCCCTGTAACTTTGGAGGGGGTGCAGAGGAAGTATTTTTGCTACATTTTAGGACTTCTTTTTGCCATTTTTGTCCCAGGAGAGGTCTTTTTTATGAAAAAGGGGAACTGGGAAGCCTCCTCTTATGTGAAATGCAAAATGCCTCCTATGCACTGTAAAGAGTTCTTGCAGACTGCAGGAGGGGAGGATTACAGCCTTCCAAAGTGTGCTGGGGGTTGATGTGACCATATTGTTTCCACTCCTATTCTGAATGTATGCTGCACTCAAAAACATGTACATCGAAAACAAAACTTTCCATAAGAGAAAAAGAAAACTAGTGTAAGACGTATCAAACAGATATGCTAGAGATTGGAGTAACAGTATATGGAATCATTGGAGACACAAAGAGAAGGAGAGTAAACCATTTATTTCTGCTATGTTTAGATTGAAAGAGTGGAGGAAATCACTGTCACTAATAGATATTGAGAGAACATATTTGAAGAAAATTAATTTAGAAATAGATATAGCAAGAATTTTAAACCACTTTGAGATTGTTAATGTGAAGAGTAGCATAAATGCTGTAAATAAAAACCAGATGACTTCAAGGACCTGAGAGTAATGGGGCTGTGCTCACGAAATCTAGAAATTCCTTTAGGAAGGATGAAGATTTATTCCAGCAGCTTAATATGTGCACAGGAAAAGTAGATTCTGTGAAACTCTTTTATCTCACTGGAACTTCTAATAGGTGAATCATGTGGGAAAAATTGCACCAGTTGATGGTGATTTATTACCAGGAGCCTTATGCTTTCTTGGGAACAAACAGCAACCAGTCCTATTTCCAGCACTAAGGAGAATGTATGCTGCCATTAGCAGCAAAATTGCTTTGGATTCCTTTTTTAACAATGTAAAGAGGATGGTTACTCCCCAGACTTCTCTGAGTTACCTTTCATCTGAATGCTCACTGAAAGATTAGGTCGTGCGTAAACTCACTTGAATTGATCCTACATCAATCTATTAATCATTTGATTTGCTCTTCTATCATTTTAAAAAGGTGGAATTTGCCACAATACCAAACATTATGGGCACATTCCAATTAAGACCTTTCTTATCTTTCATATATAGGATACCATGCCAGAGGTTCGGCAGAGCTCCTTTGCACTCCTTGGAGACCTTACCAAAGCCTGCTTCATGCACGTCAAGCCATGTATTGGTAGGTATCTGTTAAATTTTGATAAACATATAAAGAGCTCTGTTTTCTTTATTTCTATTTCTTGATATATTTGGGTATTGTTTTAATCTGTTTTAATGCTAGCATCTATTTTTGCCTTTGAAAAAGGGGTTTATATGGTCTTACATACTTCTGATTTGGCAGTGGCATAAGTCAGTGTTGGTGCACATGCTTGATAGGCAGACATTCCCATATGCAGTTGTTAAGTTTGCTTTTTTAATTATCAGAAAAAATGTGCCATCGATGCTGGAGTAAAGAGCTGATTGATCTTTCCATGTGCATGTCACATATTAATTGTGCATTCAGCATGTGAAAATGATATTTTCATTGCTAGATATTCCTGGAACAGGTCCTTCCTTGTCAGACAAGTGAA